ATATGACGTTACTATCAATATCATCTAACGTTGCATTATTTTCTTCATTTTCATCCGTTCTGAAACAAGAAATGAAACTGATCCATTCTACATCACTAGGCTGAATTTGGAGCTGGAAGAGCAACAATAGATCAAGTTCGTACACTGAAAATGGTAACAGAACGAACACGAAAATTTACAGCAGGCGTATGATCAACGGAATCCTACATCAAGAATTTGACGTTGTCTCCATAGGACCTTTCATTACATCAGAAAATATGTGACTCTGCAGACGTTCATATAAATATGAATGATGAAAAGAGCAGATCTCGGTAAAGCTTTGTTCAAACGTTGTTCAAAACGTACTGAGATGATTGCCGTTTGAAATGGATAGTAGCATATACGTGAAACAATTTTCAACGACATAAACTGTTGCAGATTAAAACATGAACTGGTGTGATGCATGTAAAAACTCCATGGAGAAACTTTTCTATGAAGCTTGTATAGAACTTGTAAAAATCCATCCCCAGAGTGAGATATATTAGCTTCGTGAGTAGTGATAGTTTCTCAGTTCATAAAATTTTTCTATAATTTTTACAACTTTTTCATCGCATAAATACTTTCTGTCAGCATTCTACCAAATGATCAGGTGATCTATGAACGGAGATCTGTTAAAGCTATGTGTATATGTTATTTTTATCTCTTTGTTTGTCTCTTTCAGCCATTTATCTGTCCGGTGTATTACCAAAGATATGTTTTATCGTTGTTAAAAAGACGCACAATACTCGATTATTTTTGTATGACGAAGAACGAAAACTAACAGAAAATGTAGCTGCTGGGACGGTGATTGATACTCATATTGTTCATCCTACACAATTTTCGTTTTTTCTCAATGCCCATGCGGGCATGATGGGCACCAGTAATGCCATTCTCTATCACGTTCTCTATGACGAAATTGGCTTTTCGTCCGACGAAATTGAACAGCTGACCTATTACTTGTGTCATTCAGATGTGAGATGTTTGAAGGCATGTCGAGAGCCGGCCCCAGTTCGTTATGCACACGATGTTGCCTATAATGCGCGATATTTGAAGAAACGACCTAATGACCATCAAAATAGTCGACAGAACGAGTAAGTAGTCTCTAGACGTGCATAACTGGTGTACAGTTTCATTTCTTGTTTCAGAACGGATGAAAATGAAGAAAATAATGCAACGTTAGATGATATTGATAGTAACGTCATATTAATCGACGAAAATTTGAAAGATTCTCAATGGTTTTGACCATGCGTGAACTATAAACAATCCTCTCCGGTTTGTTTAGGCGTTCATGGTTTTATAAGCAGTACAAATTTGAAAATCTCTCGTTAAAGACGATTTTACAAGACTTTTCCGAAATCTAGTTTGCAACGAAAGAATTGTATAATAATATAATAAATTTTTAGAATGATAATTCAAAAAGCTTTTAAGGGAAGTAGAAGCCATATTACTGAGTCCTGATGTAGTCCAGCAGTCACTGGAAAAATTCAAAGAGTAAAGTAAATATTCTTACTTGTTAACAACTTAAGAATAGAGAACAAGTATCCTTTATCGGAATGATCGAAAGTAATTGCTTTCGATCATTCCAATAAAGAAAGATTCAAAAGTTTTAGCAGAAAGGACTACAGGCGTAGTTGCTCTCTTTATCCGAAAAAATACGCGTAGGGGGCGACTAACGAGAGTCACCGCACTGTTTCAACTTAATCAAGCCGTCTTCGCCTTGGGATGGCACAGAAGTTCACAATTAGTGCTAACAAGAGTCAGTCACCAGTTGGCATGGATTGGAACCCAGCACCAATGACGGGACTCATGGTCGAGCCAGAAAATGCGACCTTTGGGGAAGAATAAAAATATTGTTCGGGTAGAAAGAGATGGATAACACCTTTCGCGGGAAATATGAATAAAGCTAGCACTACTAGCAGTATACTGGGACTGCCCTTTTGTTATCCCTGCAATATTCTAGCAGCGTACTTGTACTCACGAGGAATGATCCCCAACTGATAAATCGCTTTTTCAACGAAACCGACTGGACTATAGGTAGTCGACGATGCTGATTCCGAATACCACCATGAATGCTGCCGCTAGGCCTTCAAAGACCGGT